AGCAGCCATATTTGTTTACATTTGAAACTTAGCACAATAGTGATAAGTCAGTTTCTGCACTTTAAATATCTAGAAGTAAAATTTCAATTTTATGGACTAAAAAATCTGCCTTTTTGCCCACTGGCCGAATTGCTTGTTTTTGCGTAGAAACTCTAATTTTAATTGTAAAAAAAAAAAAAAAAAAAAAAAAAAAAAAAAAAAAAAGTTTTTTAAATTGTTTTAACTGCATTTGGTGTTTTATGTTTTTCTATATTTTTCAGTTTTTAATGACGACATTTTGAGGTTTTATGTATTTTTTGCCTTGCCGCGAAGTGAGAACTCAATTGATTGAATGAGGAAATATATCTGTAATGAAATTCGAGGAAATAAGCTTAAATGAAATGCAGCAAAAAATGCGTATAATTTAATAGGCTTTACAAGGATGTCATGTTATGTCCGCATTAGATTTTCTTCCAAAATAAAGACATGTTTAAACATATCACATTCGTTTGACTCCTTATCACATTTTTTGAAGACTTTGAGCGATAGGTAAAGTATTTAGCTTTATGTATGGGTAAGATACATGGATAATCTACGAGTAACGTGCATAAAATGTATGTAGATAAAGGCTATCTATAACTAACACATATGTCTTGAAATAATATAGCCAATTAAACGTTAATTCTAATTTAACATCTCAGAATTGTTGAAAAAAATGTGATGATAAATCTTATTAGGGGAAGAAAATTTGATGGGAAATCTATATGTTACGGTGAATCACCGAAATCTGGAGAATGTCGACTTTCACCGGTGAATGTCAACATTCACATAGTCGGTTGGTGTATGTCCGAAATATTTTCCAAATACTCTTTTTGACTTACACCGGTAAATGTTGACATTCACCATGTGCTAATAGTGAATGTTGAAAGTATAAGAATATTATATTTTCTTCTCCTTAATTCAGTCGCGAAAAAACTCACTTGAGACTTAAAACACACAGTACATTCAAAATGAGAAAGGATGTAGAAGTTGAAAGGTTTGTTGCACTTAGTTTTTAGCAGAAACCACTTCAGAAACTGTTTTAGAGTATTTTTCTCGAGAAAAATAAAAACAATTGTCTTCTCGTTTACCCGCAATTAATGCATTTAACTTTTCAAGAAAAAGGTCACGATTCACTGCAGTATCCTGTCAGTATAAATTAGGGTATCAGAAAAAGAAATTAAGAAAACGTTGCTTGTACCATCAAACCTTGCATAAGATTGACAAAGCTGACTGACTCCCACTAGAACAAAGGATTTGGCGGAAAACAGCCAGTCGACTCCTCTCTTTTCGACCTACACCAGAGCATATCTGTAATTGTCGACATACACCAGTGAGGGTCCGAATGTACAAGAATGTAATACAATATTCGATCTTTCCCCGACGTATTTGGTGAATGTTGACATTCTCCGGTGAAAGTCGACATTCTCCAAATTCGGTTTTTCATGGTAACATACGTTATACACAAGACTAGTTGAATCAGTACCTAAGCGCATTCTATTCATTTCTGCTAAAGTAGGACATATTCCCTTTTAAATTTATTATTATCAATGTATATGAAGTTACGTACGCAAGTTATCAAAAAAAATTCGCTTTGACCCATTTACTTTGTACACAACTGTAATTGGCTTTACAAATTCTTTTGAAGCATTTGTAAGCGAAAAGAGAGCTCGGACTTATGAAAAGTCCATAATGCCAAAAAATAAACTAATTTTTTAATAAGATGTTAATGAGCTTAATTGTAAAATCTAAATGAATATTTTACAAAATGTTAAAAATGAATATTTTATTTTTCATTAGAATAAGTTTAAAAAAAATTATTAACATTTTACTTGGCCCAAATTCTTTAAACAAATTATTCACTGGGATTTATGCATATCAAAAAACATTAAAGTAATTGGATGAAATTAATGCAACAGATTTTTTTTCTCGGAAACAATATTTAAACTTTCAGTGATTAAAACATATGTCACAGAATACTATATTTCTTACTAATATATGTAATTTCAAACTTTCTTCCAATTAAAACTGAGGTAAAATTGATAATAACTTTTCGAATTTTCTGGTACTTACATTTCAAGTATATAATATTAAAAAAAACTTTAATTATTTTTACTCGCAGCATGTGGTGCAACAAGTATGTAAGTGTGTAAAAATTACTTTGAGGTCAACTATAAATAATTGGAATCATATATCAAAACTATGAGATACGTAACAATCGATTTCGTTTTGCCTATTTAATTCTGGCAAAGCATTCGAGGGCCACCTGTTTATGGAGACGTACGCCTTCGTGGAGTACTTTCTAAGGTAAACTGGTTCTTATGCACGTTACATATTAAGAAAACCACGAAAACGCCTATGCAACCACTCTGTCCGCCGGGATTCGAACCCCGGGCCTAACTAGTAGTGCTCAGCTACTTTGCCGCTTGGTATATATATATGTATATGTATGCATGCATTATATATGCATTATGCATGCATTATATATATATATATATATATATATATACATTAGTTTTAAGTATCTGATTGACTTGTTATTTTGTGTAATTGGATGTTGATGAATCGTGAAATGATAGACTAATCGCTTGAAATTAAAACAATATGCTTCAAACACAATTTCTTTAAGGGTAAAAATAATTTGTCTCAGAAACATTTCGGGAAAAATCTAGTCATCTATGAATCAACATCTATATTTTTTCAGTAGGAGTATTTACAAATCAGTTAAATTCTACATTTTCGCATAATTATTTTTAAAAACGTCTCAACAATGAAGAGAATCAATGAGGAATTTATTGACCTATCGATAAGGAGCTTGATCGTGTTTTTTTTTTTGGGGGGGGAGGTTATTGCTAGATATCCACCTATGATATAATTAGATTATTATTCCATAATTTTTCTTTCGCATCAGCAGATCGCGACGTCACTTCAGAAAAACGATTAGGCACGAAGATTTTGGGCAATCTTAGCTAGGAGTTTTCTTTTATAAATTTCTCTCTGGTTACGAACTAAGAATTAACTTACGAACTGTTCAAGATGAGATCATTCTTTCCAAGGTTCTTTGCAGGCTAAGGTTTGCCTAATTTTTTTTGCTCTTTACAGGCTGTGTCTAACTAATAAGGTTTGTCAGGCTTAAGGTTTGTTTAATTACAGGCAACTATGAGCTTCATTTCTAGGCCATGCTATGATCACAGGCGGGGAATTTTACAGTTAAAGTATTATTGTTTCATTGCATTAATCTGAGTCCCCATTATTTAGGAACATCTCCGCTAGAGAAAAAAAAAATGTCACTAAGATGCATACTCCATCATTGCTTATTGGCCACTGTTAAATTAAATTATTGTTCTTTTTTCTTATTGATTGGATATTTGACTATGGAAAAGCACATGAGCGTGACAGCTCGAAGGTGTATCTGCCTCAAGGAAACAGATGCTTTCATGGAGGACTTTCTAATGGAAACTGGTTCGTGTTTAAATGGGAGGTAAAATACGAAAATCAACCATACAGCCAGCCCGTTCACCTGAGCTTAACCCTTTGCGGCACAGTGTGTCCGGTCTGGACACACCTAAAATTTCCTTCTATACGCACCAAAAATTGAATGAAAAAGGATTTATAGGTTACTATAGGTTACTCTGAACCTTCTTTATTTATAGTAGACGGCAGCTCAACACAAACCAATCCATATATTTCAGCCATGTTTAGTTTTTTCAGACCCTCATTTTTCAAAGAAATCTTCCATATTTTTTAGGGTATAAAAGGAATTGTTTGAAAAGAAATTTCTTTATTATTTTTTTGGCTGTATGCTAATATTCCTATTCTATATTAGTTTTAAATTTTTACCTTGAAATCTTGCCTAAAATCAAACGGCGAACCCTAGGTGTGCCGAGACCGGGCTCACCGATATTCTAGGACAACTGAGAGTCTGTATTCTTTGTTTTTCCGCATCTCATAAGTCAGTTCATTGACAATAATGCTCGTTTCAGCACTCGTTTCGAAGCTGTATGCAATCGGTGTGCCCACTTTAGGCACACCCACAGAATTAAAACGATAAGTGCTAGCTTTACAAAATTTTACTTGTGTACTCCTCTAGGCCTAATTAGACTGATTACCATTTTTTTAAATCAAAACTCCAATTTTAAAAGGTAGCATACCGGAAAGGGTTAAACCTAGAACGAACTATCCGTTTCAGCTTTTCTCAATACTGTTGATTATAACTTTACTAGACTACCATATTCAGTCTTTTATCGCTCGGCTACTGTTGGAGGAGCCGTCCTAATCTTGTATAACAGCTTTCTTGTTTGCAAAATAAATATTGCAATAAAATGCTTTTTAAATCAGCTATCCTAGTCTGTGTTACGTTCATTGAAATAATTAACGTATATAGTTCTTTGTCGGAAAATGTTACCACAAGACAAAATAAGGAGATGATGAAGGTTAGTATCAATTTGATGCATATATATTTCTAGATAAAATTGTTTAGCACGTGTTGCCCTTTGCTGGAAAAGATCTGTTATTTATATATCACCGCCATACGATAAAGCATTCATCTTATTTATATATAATAACTTAAACCATTGCATGCCGAACAACCTTATTGCAGGAAAGTACTGCAAATATATGTAACTTTTGAATTAAAATTTCTTATCATATAGGACAGCTCCCAAAAAATATTTACTCAAAACTCAACATTATGAATGTAAAAAAAAGGAATTCTATAATTCCAAAATAACGAAACCAGCATATTACTAAATCATCACAATATTTCTTATCAAAAACTCTTCAATGACTGCAAAGTCATCTAAAAGATAACAGTTGGTTTCATATCGTAACAAGTTCCTTTCAAAGTCAGTCTAAAAATAGAAAAGCCGCAATTTCATACCGCATCATCCAAAGGTCGTATCTATAGCGACCTGACTGATGAAAAAAAGAGCTTTCCTGGACGCTGATGGTTAGACTATAAATAGCTAAAGTTCTGTGCTCACCTGTACAACCAATTCCGGGACATATATCTGCAGGGAGACCAGCTGTTCGTCGCTGGTTTGGCTGAGACTGTCTTCCGCCGTGTCCATGGCAACGGCCTTCATGGCCTTGCCCCCCGGCTCTGCAAAGAGAGAAGTGACATTGATAAAGGAACAGCTTTTAAACAACGTAAGAATAAAAGTGCTTTGATTTATAAAACAAAATCACACTGGAATAAATAGGAACCATTCAGAAACTTCCGAAGACAAATCAAATATAATTAATTTGGGAAATTCGTGAATCTTGTCTGGTCAGTTCCAATTAAACGCAGTTATTTTTTTAATTAAATTATTGGAATATTTTAATAGATTTTAGATAACTGAATGTTTTCATGGCGACAACTTCCGTTAGCCCACCACTTCTAAAACTGATTAGTATTTCTGAAATCATAATTAATATTGGTATTGAAATCACTAACACGAACACCTCCAAGGGATATCAAAATCATTTGGAACTATGGGTTGTAGTCTTAGAGAGTGTAATTAGACTAGCACTGTAATTTGAAACATCTACAGATAAAACGCGTATCTTAGAAATATCGGAAAATCTGGCTACATCACACCCACTCGAATGCTCAAAGTATATATTGACACTGCCCTGCTTGCTATTATAACATATACAGAAACATATAGCGAATCCTCTCTAAGGCGAGCATCGACGAATCTGGAAAAATCCTGTTTTTTTTTTTTTTTTTTTTTTTTTTTTTTTTTTTAAGGCGCCTTCTTAGAGAGGTGATATTCATTACCAGTATTTTATTCATGTTCTATGACACACTAGTCACTTTCAGAGACAGTTGTTTTAAAATGGTATTTACCATTAAAGAGTTCTCTGGTACTATAAAAAGTTTTTATTTTTGATATCTTGTATAAGCATAAGTAACATCTAAAGTGTTATACAACATGATGTAATAGAACTATGTATCATAAATAGCACTTTAGATGTGTATCATAAACAACACTTTATATATTATTTATAACAACATTTAAAGTATTTATTATGATACTTACACACGATACATTAAAACAGATTATTCTGACAATGGATTGATAAATAATTTATCTTGCAAACAAAGAACTGAAACTTATCACCCTGTAAGTGAATTTTCTCGTAATTATGGATTTCTTAGTAACATTTTTCGTTTTCTAATTTACTTAATGCTAATGTTACAGTACATGATAACCACAACATAAACATTTTATGCAAGCCGACTTGCATTGTTATATTGCTCGTAAATATAAAATCAACAGCAAAGTGCTTTGTTTAACAGCAACAACTTTCATCAACAGCATTTCAAGTTTCACGAAGTAGGTGGAGTTTTACAGTGCAGAAGTTAGTACTCACAAATCTGGCGTTATTAAAAGAATAATTGTATCAGCATTGAAAGTGGTATTCAAGGTATTATTTAGCAGTTTTAGAGAATGAAGAAAGCTTTTGAAAAGTTGAAGTTTTTAATATGTGCATTCTGTTATTATATTAGATGGCAGAATACCATGTTTCTATTTTGTAAGGATTATATTAATTTATCTTACAGTTAAAGTTTGAGTTAAACTTCCTTTCCTATTTTTTTCTCAATTTCAACTTGCAACTTCCTGCCAGAACGTAGTTTTAGAATCACGTTTGAATGCAAACTGAGGAAGAGCGGTATTTAACCTCGAGGTTTTACTTTTAATCAGAGAGAACCAGAGATTCTGGCCAGCATGCGTCCGCCTTTTTAGGCTACTCTCTCTTAAGCTATTATTACGCTCGGCCGTACTTTAGGCCCGTGATAGCTTCGCCGTTAGTTAGGGTTAAGGGGCCAACTTTTTTACAGCTTGGGCTATATCTTTTTAGTTAAGATTAGTTTAGTTTATTTCTTCTTATCTTAAGTTCAAGCCCGAGTGTCGGCTTTATTGTACAACTCCAAGACGGAGTTCTGTTACAACTTATTGTAATAATAAAGGGTTATTTCACCCTTCTTACTTGTTGTTTCCTGTACCACGAACTCAAGCGATTATTCGCTTATCAGTTCCTAAGATTCTACACATGCAACTGTAACTTTAAAGCACGCAGTACAGAATTTTATAATTTTATTAGTCCAAAGGAGAAATTTGCTCTGAAGGACTATTAATTTCGTTTTGGCATTTTGCGTGGAAAACTTTAAAAGGCTGTATCACTTTACAAATAGCTGCCACCATATTTCATCTCTCTGTCTTATATTTAAAGAAATTAAATAATGAAGAATCTGCATAAATGTATGTATGTTTTTCGCATTTGGATACCTAGAGTCATCGAAATTTGAATAACGTAATCTTCCATAGAATATGGGCATGTGGAAGCCCTAATTTGAATTTGAAATTTGTTTTATTATCGATTTTAAATTTTGTGACACTTCAACGAATTTTTTAATTAAAAAACTAAACGATTTCAATGCGACCAATGGCAACACTGTACGAAAAAAAAATTATCTCCAACGCGCGAGACTCTGAATCGGAAATTCTAAAGATATGCTCATTTTAAAATTAATTTGCGATGTTGCTGTTGAACTAAGTTTTATAGTTTGAGTATGTAGAACATATTTAATAAATAAAGTAACAAAAAATGTTAGAAAAAGTCCCTTTGGACGTAATTTAAAATCTGAAACCTTTTAGATTTATTTTTAGATTTATTTGATATTTATTTAATTCAGTGAAAGGTAAAACAAAATGAATGAAGCAAAACATAACAATACTAGTTACTGCTTTATTATACCTTACCCGAAAATAATGATGATTTTGTCTCGCAATTTTCACGAGGGTTTAACAATTTTTGAGAAAACCAAAAGTTTTTGTAACCTTTTTTATCCAATTGCCAGTCTAAAGCATAAAAAAGCATAACTGCAAGATGGTATCGATATTTTTAGCTAAGTTCACTTAAATTCAAGAAAAAAAATACTGTGATGAATTTTTATAATCGTAAATTGTTTTACACTAAAATAACGTTACATCGATATTTCATAAATCTTATTTTCTAACAACATTTGGCAAATTTTCAGAAATATGAGAAAGCATACAGATTTTCTGCTTTATAAAACCTCTTCTCGAAGAAATTCTGAAGCTTATGCTTCGTTCCATTTACACAGTAAAGACATTGAGCCTTTAAGCACATATATTCGGAGCAAAGCTAATACGTTGCCCGTGAAAAATATTAAACCAGCGTACATTTACCAAGAAAGATATTCCTATTTTTTTTTCAAAAATACTTCAACGATTAGAAATTATCTAGGAAGCCCGTGGGCTTTCTTTTACCTATTAACTGAGTGCGGAGGAACCTAGTGAATAGCTAAGCAAATAATCGCTTAAGTTCATGAATAGAGACGTAAACTAAAGAAGAGTTAATTACCCAAAATAAAGCTATACAGTCGGTCCTTTTCTGAGGGCGTACAGCAAAGCTTGGCTTAAACTCAAAAGTATAAGAAATAAAAACTAATTAATGACTAACTAAAGAGATTTTGCCGAAGCTAACACAACTCTAAACTAGTTGGCTCCTAAATTTCGAATTAGCTAGCGAAGCTATCAAGAGCACGTAATACAGCCGAGCGTAGTAACGAGCTTAGAGAGACGTAGCCAAAAGGCAAACGCGCGCTATTGAGAAATTCTGATTCTCTCTCCCGAAGTCAGTGGAACTTCGACTTAAATACCACTCCTTCTCATTTGCATTTAACGAGATTCTAAAAACTCATTCTGGTAAGGAATTGTAAGCTGAAGCTAGGAGAGATGGGAAAGGTACATAAACATAAAAATAACTGTTATAAACTTAGGATAAACCTTGTAAGGCTTTAATAACTAAAAGCAATTCGCAAATCAGTTCTTAAATGTTATATATATCTAATTTTGTATAATTAGTTTACTAACTCTTATTTTGAGGTTAGAACGAAATCCATTCGTAAACAAAATTTACTTTAGTTGATTCATTTGGCAGTTAATCCGTTATTATAACACTACAGAAAATGTTTTTAAATGTTAGATCGATTCCTAAGCTTTGGAATATGTATTGAAAATTCTACTTTTAAGAACTGTCTGTATAATTTCATTTTTTAATCCCTTTGAAAACTGCAGCAAGATGTACAAGAAACGAACTCCTACAGGAAGAGGATTTTAAATGTTTGTTTTACAATCACGCACCTGCAAAAGGAAAAAAAGATAAAATCTGAATGAATTCAAATTTTAACGTCGCATCAGAGGGTTTGTTTAGGTTTTTCTATATACTTATTGAGTTTTCAGTATCTTCTCTTGGAGTCAATCTGCTGACACAACTTCTTTTATACTTTTAACTTTATTACTAAACACCACTTTTCTTGCAATTACGCTATATAAAATTCAAGGGCAAAAAACAAAAAGCTTTTCAAAACAGCATATTTTTAGAATTCCCGATACAGTATTATGTTATAGTGTTATAAATGTTTTAGCTCAGAAGGCCTAATATTTTCGTGCTTCACTTTTATTGCCCATTTCACTTTTCAAATACCGTATTTCTTCGCGTAATTTTTGCTCCAGCCTTTTAATTCCATTTTCTTAAAATTTACAAAATATTCGTTTAACTCATCCTCAATGCGCTCAGAGAACAAGCTTCCGTAAATTTTAAAACGAATTCGTCCATATAGTGATTGCTTTTTTCTTGCTAAACAAAGGCAAACCTTCACAAACTACCTGCGAAGGTCACGTCGAAGATTTACCTTCTAACTTCCGAACTTTGTGCTAGCCACAAGGACAGACCCATCACAGCGAAACAAACGTAAACCAACACTCAGTCTACGATTTCAGTAGGCTGCCACTAGTCAGCTGCTCATTCACCTTCTCTAATTATTTATGGACGATTTGAAGCCTAAGAAGTAACAAAGATAATAGTACAAACAAGCAAGATTCAGGCGAGATATCTTATTAAATATTATGATGTCAATATTACTCTGCTTTCTTGTTAGAATGAAGGTTTCTCTTAAAATAATAATATTGGTATAGTTACCTATAATTTTCCCCTGAATACTTTTCATTTTCGATGTTCTTACTATCACCGTGTCCTTGTAAATTAAATTATTCGCATAATTTTACTGTCTAGATTTCCGAATTATAAATTTATTAGTAAGAAGGGGATAAATACGCGTGGAAATACGGCTAAAATCGTTACTAAAAAAAACTCTCTCTCTCTATGTATATATATATATATATAACGCCTTTAAAAAATCTAGCCAACCTAATTTCAGAAGTCCAACTTGCAGCTCATAGAGGAGCTAAATAACTGCGTGCATTGCTTTAAAATTGCTTAATTTTTAATGAATAATAGGTAAATTAAATTTGAAAGCAAAATTAAATACCTTATGCTTTGTCAATGGCAACAAATTGGCAAGTAGTTATCCTCAGGACTCTCTATTAAAGTGTTAAATGTTGCCACACTTTTTTTAATATTCACTATATTAATTCTTTAAAATAATAAACCGCGGTAACATTTGGGGACAACATCCTTTCATTTGTTTTGTGGTACATACTTTTTTATAACCGCTGTATTATTTCCTTAAAAATAATACATGGGAATAGTATTTGATGGTAACATCTGAAAAGTTATACGGACGCAGAAGTGATATTGACAAAAAAGTATTGACCAAGAAAAAACAGACCTTCTAGTGCTTAATAATAATTATGCATAAAACAAAGCGAATCACAAAAGTCACGTTCATCATGCTTTCAGATTAACAATGTCTCAATTAGATACTTTCCAACCTCAAATTAATCAACGGCAGTTACAGTAACCAAATCATAAATTTTCTGCATTTAAAATTAGGCAAAATAGGGATGTTACTTTAACATAGATTTTGTGTAAAACTTTGTTGAGTTTGAAGACGATCAGACTCAGGTCCCTCTTGTAAGAAGCAAAATAACAATATTCTGTAAAATGGGAG